CATGGCCTTCAGAAATTCGGTTTTTTTTAGTTTGGCATTTGCGTATTATGACAAAATTGACAAATGTGTGGCCATCAAAATCTTCTTTGAAAAGTTCTTCAAGCGGTCCGTTTCCGAGCTATCTAAAACACACCACATCGCTATGTTTTGCTGGCGGCTTGTGCATTTTCCAGAATCTCAAGATCTCGATACCATGCAAGAGGACAACATTTCTAGTCTCGATGATATTCTGGCCCATCTTATCATATTGTTCGCCCATGACCGGGCTTCATTGTTGAATCATATTGTCCAGATGTTCCAAAAAATTGGCATCCATGTTGCGGTGGACACCCCTTCGTTTAATGAGGTGCTTTCCTCGCTATGTTTCTCCGTTCTATTTAAGCTCTTTAATTTGTTCTTAAGCTTCACCCACGCTAATTGGAAACAAAAGGTAGCTTTGAATTTTGGTCTTTTACCCTAGTTTTTCAATGGTATTAGCTTTTTAGCCCAGTATCACACCGAAATCCAAGAACCCGGTATGCTGATAATGGAAAACATTCTGGGCCTGCTGGATATTATGAAGCCCAACAGATCATCAAGTTACGTGTTCAAGTCGGCGTCAATTTCGCTGTTTTGCGGTCTGTTCGAGGTGATCAAAGAAAACCTGATGCAGTATCCCGAGTATATTTGGCCCTTTGTCGAATGCTCGTTTTCCCTTGTTGATGCAAAAAACGACAGCAGGGTTTTCCATAAAATCTTTTGTGACTTTTGGAGCTGCATAAAATCAGTCATCGAACTGCTATATTGCAACACCATGTTCCATAACGAAGAGTGTGCCTTCCTATTTATTCGGTTGTATTTTTACTTGACGCAATATTACCACTTAAAAGAGTCGCCATATAATTTCGATGGCCTTCTTCAAATTCTTTCAAGATATCTCTTATCAATTGATGCGGTTCTATTTTCGCTTCTTCGGGCAAACTCATCGGACGAAATTGCAAGTCTCAAATCAAGCAACCAACTAAGCCATCAGTCGGAACATCTGATCAACTACTTGAATGTAATTTTTTATCTGATCTCACTGGAAGACATCTACGTTTACGTGGGGGTTACCACGTCACTCTGCTCGTTTTTGAAGTTTATCCTGTCCGAGAATGACGATTATTCGATGCTGTTCCCATCGCAATTTGTATCTCGCCTTATCTTCCAAATCCAAAGGATGTTTCCCTTGTTACGGGAAGCGGCAATACCGGCGAAAAACGTCTACAATACAATTTTGAATGTTCTGGCTCTTGTTAATTTGATGTTTCCAAAAAGGCTTGTCGGGATTGATGGCGGTACGCCAAAGTGCGATGTGTTTTCTCACGCAAACTATTTAAAAGCGTTTTCAGACMAAGATGTCGTTTGGAGCTTTTTGGTTTGCTTTATTTTCCCGTCGTGTTCGCAGTCCATCACTACCAACTCATCCACTTTGACTTTGCCGTTTTTCATGTCGCAGGAGGTTGTAAACGGCTTTTTAAAACTTCCGGAATCGTTTTCTTTGTCATCGATTGCATCCGCCAATGCCTTTGATATTGTATCGCGTTTGTCGGACAAAAACCGGAAAAAGCTTTTGTATTTGATTAAGCGGTCTAGAAACTCGAAATTTCGGATTTCTGGGTTTAAGGCCATTAACTTCGGCTCCATTGACTTTGACGAGTCTTCCTTCAACGTGCCTGAAAATACCCTGCCTTCTCAATTCCTTTCGCAACTTCAGCAATTTATCATCTCAACGATTGAAGATTCAAACGATCGATACATGTTTTCATTGCTGAGAATATTTTGTGCGCTTCCGACGAACACGCATATCAACCCCACTAGTTGCGATCCTCTTGATATCACGCTTTCCGAAAACGGCCTGTATTTTTCCAGTCTTTTCTCGATTTTTCTGATGAATCGAAAGATGGT